AGTGTCCACCACCCCTAATGACTGGTGCTGATGGGAGTTGTCATCCAAAACACACAGAGAGAGCACCATGCTTGCTACCATTGGGATACTGGACCGTCTCTATATCTGAGCCCACTGGAGTTTAGGGCATGTTACTCTAGGATGCCCCTCTCTGCCAACTAAGAGACAGCAAGGAAAGAATCAAGGTAACCTTAACCTATTGAGTCTGAATGGCTTGTTCCAGGAATAGATGTGTGTGACATAGAAGCATTGGTGGTTCTTGTGCTGAAGCATGGCTGTGTCTCATGCAGATGGTGCTGGCAAGGTGTACATCAAAAAGACATTAATCCACAGTCAGCCCATCAAGCTTTCCTGTGCTAAATCAAATGCCAAAGCCATATGGCAATGACAGTCCTTGCTGACACACATCCCGGATGCTACACCTCTGTATTTCTGGTGAATGCCATTCTGGTGCAGCTGAATGCAAAAGAATGCTTATTGACTTGTTCATTCCCTGGTAGCAATTCCAGCGGGGCATGTTCTGTTAAGCTAGGCAAACATGCTGTTTTTTTCTTCTGCTGCTACAGCAGATTACATGCCCCAGGAAACCGAGGCAATCCCGGATCTCCGGTGGAGGCCTGTTGCAGATCTTAGGAAAATAAAATGAAAAGAGAATGAATTATCTGGAACATAAATTACTCCCACGTGTTCACATGCCACAGGATTTTCTGAACGCACAGGGAACAATACAAGGCTCCTTAAATTTTGAGAGCTGCCAATGTGCATTCTGAATGGAAATTGAAGGCGCACACCCCTCTTGGCAACTGAAAAAGGCTTACATTTGAAACATTAAAGTGTAAAAACGATCTGCCACCAGAGGAGCTCACCCTGTTTGCTTCAGTGTGAGTCACTGAAGTGACTGTAACTTCCTTCTGCCACCTCCAGATATCCCCTGATTTATAGAGTGAAACTGAAATATTCCAGAATGTTTCATGTCAGCCCTAATCACATGAAAATATTATGGTGAGGTGTTCTGAGTCCCTGGCTCATCTGTCTTGGTGTTCTTTCCTACAACTGGGCATGTCCTCTACTTGAGATCCAAAATGGTGTGGACAGCGATTGAATCCATATGGAGTGAGCAAGAGCGATTTCACCACCTTTTCTCACTCTAGTTGCTTCTGGTATCATTTCTTTCATTGTGCATTTAAAAACCCCACAGACAGTTGATTTGTTATCTATCCATCCATTATTATTATGAACATTCATTACTCACATCTGTATTCTTTTGTGTGTTTGCCGCTGTCTCACTTTGGCCCTCCCTCCTGGCTCTGCCTTCCATGTAGCAGAGTCAGCACCAGACTTCAGTCAGTCTGGCCCCTTTCCAGCACTGCTGGCAATCCCTCTGTCCCTATTGGGCAGCCGACTCTTCTGTTGCTTCTGGTGTTGTGGTGTGCTGCTCCCCTTCTCACCCTGGACAAGTCCACCTGATGGTAGTGGTGATGTTGGAATGGGAGCTGCGTTAACACTGAGCTAGTCTATGGCTGTTATCTGCCACTTTAGATTGCCCCAAATGCAATGCCAGACATCAATGTTGAACATTGCGTTTTAGACCATCTTAGATGGTAGCTGGCCAACGTAGATTGAAGCTGAGCACAGGCTCTGCTCCTGTCCCAAGGCACCATAACCACCCCCTGAGAATATAGTCAAGAAAGGAGGAGACATGACTGGTGGGGACAACAGGGTGCAGCAACAATGGTATGGAGGAGCCCCTGGGTGGGTGGAAAGGCCTCACCATACCAAGTCCTGATACCAACCCTAACCCTTACTGATAGCAGCAAAGCTCATTTCAGCAGCTTTAAGGATTCAAACTAGATGCCATGGGTAGAATTCAATGTGGTGCTAATGCAAACTTTCCATCATCATAAGGGTTTCTCCTTGTGCAACAGAACATTCTCCCCCTCTCCTCCTCCTCCTCAACCTACTTTAGGAGGGGGGGGGGGAATGATTGCACCACACAGGCACAACCTTCTTAGACCACATCATTCTGTCCTAGCCTGATTCTTTGTAAATCAAAATTGCTGCCTAATTGATCACATCTCACTGTTCTCTTAACCAGAATGAGAAAGAGGGTGTTTCTTTCAGCAGCCAAGCAATCGGGAGACGGGACAGAGAAAGGTGATCTGATTAATCTGTAGGATGAGCGGAAATTAGTTATTTTCATCCTTAATCGCCCATGGGATAGGCCAATTATGAAGCTGTTAGAGACCGATTAGGTATTAGGGAAGTCACCCTTCCTCCTTACCTCACTCCTGTAACCCGGCATGAAATTACTGAAGTCACTCAATTTCACTCTGATTGAAATCCATGAAGGGAGATCTCACCACTGGGCATGGGGAGGCTGCAGATGCTTCATTTTCATTGCCAGCAGAGAACCAGCTTCCAGAAATCGACTTTACTGATTTTGCTGCAAATGGAGTCTTCAACGTTGCAAGCGTACTATCCAAATACCTTACTTACTGACTCATTTCTCCCCCCTCTCGCTCTCCATGTATCTACCCATCCAAGGCTGTATGTACTCTTTAGGTGTTGCATTGTATTCAAATTCTGCTATTTCTTGCCATATTCTGGTTATTATTGCCAATGTATAAGTGGTCATCCTGAGACATATGTTGCATCTTTCATTTTCCCGATAGGGTTCCATGCAATTAATGAATAGGGTTGCGTGCAATTTAAAGGTGTTCAGATCATGGGGCTTTTGATGCTTCCTAGGAGGGATGGAGACAGTTGGCAAATTTCTTTAGCAGCATGTTTTCCCCCCATAAATAGGATCAAATCAAAGGTATTTGATTAAACATAGGACAGGTGTTTTGTTTGTTTTTTAAACCGAAGTTACTAAAGTAAATGTTAGTAACTGCTTCAATGTCAATAGCAGCATCAGAGAATGTTGCCAGATTCCAGTCTGGCTTGTGTGTCTGTCGCTGGGTCTGTGCCAGGGTGATTTTGTACGCTTTTACAGTTGCCAAGGGCATCATTGCCAACAGTTAACCCACTAGATAAGCCTCAAGTAGTTCCTAGGCAGAGACAGCTAAAGACATCTTCTCATTATTAGAGCATAAGAAAAACCCTTCAGGATCACCTGATACAGAAAGCAGATGCTTCTGAGAAGAAACAACCTTACCGGGGGGGGGGGGGAGAGGCTGTCCCCTTTTGTCACCTTAGGCAAAACGGGAAGCTGCTGCCCCTGTCACTACCCTACAAAAAAGCCTTGGTTATGCCTTGGTTATGTACAGGGATGCACAGCTGCAGGTTCTGGGTTCTGGCAAGATCTCTCAAGAGGTCTATGAGATCTCACTAGAGCATGGAAGCCACAGACACTTCTTTGTGCTTGTCCAGCAGCAGTGTGTTGGGAGGTGGTCCCCACCAAGGGAAAAGTGAGAAGAAGAGGTGGCAGTGGTGAGATCTCGTCTGAACCTCCCCTCTCCTCAGGCACATACCTCAGTAGACCTCTTTTGCAGCCTCTTTGGATGGTTTTGTCTGGTTTGAACTCTAATAATGTCTTTTGCTTGCTTGCATGGAGGAAAGATAAAGAGGTGGTGTGTGTGTGTGTATAGACACTAGCCCGCTGTACATAGGCAACATTTGCATGTGTTGCTCCACCCACTTTTGCCTCTGGCCCCTCCCACCACTGGCATGCAGCCCCCCAGAAAGTGGCCCAGAACAGAATGTGAACCTCAGTCTGAAACCTCTATAGCAATGGCTCTGTAACAACCTCTTGTGTCTCTTGCACTACCAGCAATGAAATCTTCTTTCAGGGCAGATTTTCCTCCTAATTTCTAGGCACGAAAGATACAAGACCTGCTCCTGGAATGCACTTATTACTTAAACGGTGACAAGAAGGAAATTCAGCTTTCAGTCCCGGATAGCAGCCCTCTGTCCTTTCCTCCTGGTTAAAGTAAAATAGAGTTCCGCTCGGTGGCTTCCTGGTCCCAGCAGAGAATGAGCTCTTCCTTTGCCGCTTGAGCAGCTTCTAATATTTTACCTATCTCTTGCCATTTTATTTTATATATACTTCTTTCATTCAGTCAGTCAGGAAATAAAGTGTGATGGAATGAAATGGTGAAGGAAGAGCATGCAAGTCCCCATCCCTCTCCAAATCCAAAGCAGTTGATTTCCCTTCACAATCGGACCTCCCCTGAGTTGGTCCAGATTAACACTTTTGCTGAAGCAGGAACATAGGAAGATACTTTACGCTGATTCAGCCCATCGGCCCAGCTAGCTCAGAGCTGTCACTACACCGACTGTGGCTCTCCAGGGTTTCAGACTGTTGTCCCTCCCAGCTTTACCTGGAGATGCTGGGGATAGAACCTGGGAGCTGCTGCATGTCAAGCAGATGCTCTAGCACTGACTTTCAGCCATTCCTGCTGACCGGGCTTGATTTGGAATTCAGCTTCTAGCTCTGCATTCCTGGCTTCAGATGGAATGGGGTGGTGTGAGATAGATAAACTTTATTTGCATTAGCCAATGGCCGTAGCAACATAAAACAAGCAATATATACAACAACAATGGATAAAAAGGACCATCAGATGACCACTGCACCCTCGATAAACCTAGCAACCTTTGCTGTTGTCTGATCATTCTGATCTGACAACAGGAAGAACAATGTGGCCTTAGATGGGCGGCCTGGGATAGTAAGTATGAGGGGGTGATGATCTCATTCCTCAGGTCTTTATAAAGGGGGCAAGACAGGAGAACATGAGCCACTGTTTCCAGATTGGAATGGGGTGGTGGTGGTGGGAACTCAAGGGGTTGGTCTGAAAATTACAGACCAAATCCTACTTGACCTTTCACAGGACACTTTAGTGTGGTCATATATTTTGTTTGTTTCTTTATTAATTTGTGGAATAGGATGGAGCTTTAAAAAAGGGTCATGGCTGCACTTTTGACCTTGGTTTGCGAATTTAAGGGTGCCGTATTGGGTGCTTGAGTCTGCGTACATACTCTATGTTTAAAGCACAAACTCAGCAAGATAGCTCAGTTGGTAGAGCATGAGGCTCTTAATCTCAAGGTTGTGGTTTCAAGTCCCACCTTGGGCAAAAGATTCCTGCATTACAGGGGGATGGAATAGATGACCCTCATGGTCCCTTCCAACTCTACAATTCCATGATTCTGCCAAATCCTGGAAGCTGTGAGTTTGTGAAGGGTGCTGGGAAATGTAGCTTTCTGAGGCATAAATATCAGTTCCCAGGATTCTCCTATATGCAGCCTTAAACTGGGATGAAGATTTTTGAAAAGGTGTGGATTTTGCATACAATTTGGGTATCATGCTTCGATGCTTCCTTTATGGTTCCTTCCTTCCTTCCTTTGGAAAGCTGGCAGCATGGACATTAGAGGATTGCAGTGGCTGGTGGCCATTAGTCTTTCCCGCGAACATTGCTGCACCGAGATAGTTTAAATCAGTTTGTTGGATTCACTCCTCCATCTCTCCCCCACCTCCACACACATGGGGTGGCAAATTTGAGGGAGATTTTGCTACAGCCCCTCCCTAAGTACCCAGCAGATACTTGACATGATTCCTAAGTATTGGAGTTGATCCTCATGATTACACAGTGGGGAAAACCACTAAGAGCATGTTATTCATTCATTTATGCACCAATCATTCTTTCAACTTACATAGTGCTTTTTTACACAAGAATTCCAGACATAATAAAACTTTAAAATACAAAAAGAATTCAGCATAACAGATAAAACCAAATCTCTACAGAATATGCAACATACAGAAAACAGCTGAATCCAGCAGCTGCTTTTCTATACCATACAACAAGCCAACAATACTAATAAAGTGCAGAACTTTTGGGGGGCATTGAATTTTAGGGAAACTAAAATGGCAGCCACAACTCCAGCCACCAGAGGCCTACCGGTCACATTCCTGTTGGGACCTTCAGCCCTGGAGCTGACAGATCTCTTTCTGAGTTCTCTTGCCATCATATCTGCCTTTGCCAAAGAGTGAATATCATTTGAGGTGGGCATAATGAAGGGTGACTGTGTCCACCTCAAATGGGGATCAGCATAATTAGAATGGAGGGTTTGTTTGTTAAAGCACCTTCAAACTAGTGCCCCATCCTTACTACAGTTGCTATGAAACACAGAAGCTTGATTACTGACTGGGACCAGCTATACATCACCTATGTACCTCACTAGCTTTGAAGCCATCTACATTGGCTTTGGGATCAATTCTGAACACAACTCAAAGAGCTGGTGGCAATCTTTGAAGCCCTGAACTCCTTGGAACACAGATACCCCATGGACTCCCTTCAACCACATTGACTTGTATTAGGAATATGCCTCAGCAGTAAGACAGGTGGGGACCAGAGAGAGATGAACTTTTTGTTGGTGACATCCTAACTTTTGTCAGTATCTGGTGCAGGGGTGCCAACTTAAATAAAATATGAGGGGAGGGAGTGATTAAGGCCCATCCCACATAATTCATCACCATTTGAATTGCAATGTCCATCAACTTTAGGGGATGTGGACCCCTCAAATATGTTATTGGGGGCCGAAGGAACCTCAGTCCCTAGGAGTTGGCTCCTATGATCTGGTGAAATAATTTTGTTCCAGCTGCACAACAGAACTTATCCTTCCTCTCCTCTCTCTGTGCCCCCCACCCCCTATATCTGTTCTGAGTGGATTCTCCCAACTCTCCAGAGCAGACTTTTTTTTGGGGGGGGGGGGTGTGAATAGGTGCATGTGAGAAGAGAGGCAGGATAAATTTGACTGCACAGGTGGAAATTGTCTCATTGAATACCATCTTCTGGAATTATCTCCCGAAGGAAGTTCATCTAGCATTACAAAACCGCTTTTACCTCTTTCTCCATATTGATGCCTGGGACACTCATGCACAAAACACCTACTTTACAAATAGGGGGAAGCTGTTCGAGTATGAATTAGCATCATTAAGTTTCCATTATTTTGTTTTATTTATTTTTGGTTTAACTCCAAGCTTGCTGTGCTATGTTATCTGCTGTGTACCTGACGATGCCCTGTTAAATCGGCCCCTGTGCTGAGCGGCTGAGCCAGAGTAGCTTCAAATCACTGCCCTGAGATGTATGGTGCTGGGTTGCAACCTTAACAGGAACGGATGGCTCTTTAGCTGACTGGGTGACATTCAGTGGAGCCAATTGCCTTTAATCAGCCAGGCTGCCTTTCTGCTTGCTTTCCTTTGGCTGCTAAGGAAATTAGGCAGGTTGTGAAGAATCTGTGCACAATTAGTGTGGCAAATTGGAGCTTCCCACGAGGATACACAGCATCACACACACCAGGAACAAGAACGGAGCTCTCCTGTACAAAGGAAGCCCATTTAATGCATTAAATATTTAATTCATCAACTAAAGCTTTAATGAGGTGAAGACATTACACAGAGGAAAATGCCAAAGGGGTTACTGGGGCAGGACAAGCCTCTCTGGGAGATAATATATTGTCTTCCTCTTAGATATATTGTGTTTCTCTTGTATTTTGTATTTTTTTTGTACCACAAAAATCAGTGCCTTGGCAAATGGACTCATGATACTTTCCCTATATCTGAATATATGTTACAGCCTCGCCACCTGCTCAAGGTACGTTGATTGAAGGAAACAGGGCTGGAGTAGCAGCTTTGTTGTCTATCTATATAAAGAATCACTCCAAAAATTACTGTGGCGTTTTAAGAGAATGGCACAATCACTGCCACTCAAGGTGGAATCAGGCAACCCTGTGGCAGCTCTTTATTATTTGTTTGTTTGTTTGTTCATTACATTTATATCCACCTTTCCTCCAAGGAGCTCAAGGTGACATACGTAGTTCCACTCTTTCCAATTTTATCCTCACAACAACCCTGTGAGGTAGGTTAGGCTGAGAGTGAATGGCTGGCCCAAGGTCACCCAGTAAGTTTCATGGCTGAGTGGGGATTTGAACCCTGGCCTTCCAGGTCCTAGTCCAACACTCTAACCACTACACCACACTGGTTGCCATGTGGAGAGGTGACTGCAGGACCAGCTAGTGATCTGAAGTCTCTCACGATGCAACACAGTCCTACATTCACTCTGATGTTTGAATAAAGCCCTATTCAGATGCCAGCGCATATGGTGATTCTTGGCCTTGCATGCATGCCCCCGCTCACTTCCGACCTTTAGCCCACATGCTTTTAGGCAAATGCCTGAAAAGGGCTTAGCACCCTCTGGTGTTCTTTTGCTAGCTTGGCTGCTTCCTCTTCTAAGAATGTTCCCAGGAAGAAAACATCTGGAGCCTCCTCTCCACATAGACAGCTGAATGCAACATGCAACGAGATCATCTAAATTCTTCCACCTGCTTGGGTTGCTGCTCCATGTGTGCTCGGCAGCCATGAAAGTGCCTCACCTTAATCAGCTGGACATCTCTCCTGGGGTTGCTCTCCATGACATAATGTGTGGACAGAAGGTTCTAGATGTCTTCTACCTGTGAGCTCAGCCACCAATAAGAGATTCTGCAGAGAGGGTCTAATTGTCGTAGTGGTTTAACAATCAAACCCTCCTCACAGGGAACACTGGGAATTGTAGCTTTCTGAGAGGGAACAGGGGCTTCCTAACAACTCCCAGCACCTTAACAAACTACAGCTCCCAGAATTCTTTGGGTTAAGCCATGACTGCCCAAATGGCATCACGATGCTTTAAATGTATGGTGTGATTGTGGCCTTACTCAGCATATACCATGCAATAAACTTGCAAGGAAGGGTGTGTGGGATTAGTATGGTTAAATCAGCTGCAGTAACCAATAGGTTTGTGCAGCATTATTCCCTTTCTCACTGGGAATCCCATAAGTCTGAAGTGCCTCCAGCTTCACAGCCAGGAAAAAAATACGAGGCAGTGGCAATGGCCAATTATTAAAGGACACATTTGCCTCAAGAGCTCTTCCTGGTTCATCGCACAGGGTGAATTGTATTATCTGCCTTTTTTGAACGTTTGAATATATAAGTAGTCCTTTAAGTCCTTATCAGCATGAGTCTCAGGTTGGGTGTGAGGGAGGAATGCAAAGATATGTGGTTTTGGGAGTTTTTGGTTCCATCTTGTCCCTGCCAGAGGCATTGTAGGCTGTGCTGTACTTGTGTTCTGTTGAGTATTAGTATGTGTGAGGGGGAAAAATGAGGGAGTCAGTTCTAAAACGATTCCAGCAGTTGCTTCTGTATTAGAATTGCTTCAGATAATCAAGCACACGCACAGGGTTAGGGGAATCTTGGGATTTGGAGAGGAATAATAAAGGATTAATCAAGAAACTCCTGAATGAATTCAATATTTAAAAAATGACATACGGAGCATGCAGCTTGATGTTTTTATGATTAGGCTGGCGGATAATTGGAAAGAGGAGATTCTGCCCCACGCTTGGCCAGGCCCAGTCTCTGGGAGTTCTCTCTGGTTAAGCACTCCTTCCTCAGGAAGCCGCAAAGCCAAGTGTTTTGTAGCCTGTATCGGAAGCTACTTAAAGAACAGCCTCAAATTCATTTTGAAAACACACATTTACATTTTGAAAACCTACCATGCCACAGATCTTGGTTTGTGTATCGCAGAGCCTGTTAAGAGCGTTCCTTGCCTTTTACTTCTAGCCCTGCCTAGCAATTTGAGGCAATCTAGGGACATTCTGCTTGCCCATTCTCTGTCCCATTTCCTTAGCTCTGTTTTACACATTAAGCTAAAGGAAATGTATGTGCTTCAGTTGCTTTCTGCACTAGAGGGACAAAACCATGCGTAAATCTGCCATTACTGCACTTTGATTCCTGTATCCTTTATTACACAGTTGCAATGTATATTGCTGCATCTGTGGAAGCTTCTGCAGCCAATCGGAAGCCCTGTTGGATGTTCGGGTTCCAAAGAATGTTCGCAAACTGGAACACTCACTTCTGGGTTTGCGACGTTTGGGAGCAAGAACGTTTGACTTGCAAGGCGTTTGGGATTCAAGGTACTGCTGTAATGAAATGCCTATTCATAAACTCATACTGTAATTCAGGGAGAGCTCTTGGTTTGGTTCAGAACTCCCCTACCCACCCTGTTTGTAGATTTATATGCAAAAATTATGTGCCTGTTTTACCAAG